TTCGCTCCCCCATCCGGGTTGTTTCCGTCCCCCTCCTCCTCGGGGACGGTGCCGCCCCTTCCCCCATAAACCACCCCAGCTTCCTCCATCCCCATCCTTTCCTCCATCCTCATTTATTTCCCCTTTTCTCGCCGTTTTCTCGTCTCTCCCAGCGACCGACCCACGATGACGTCGCAGGGTACCCCAAAAACCCCCCCGCCCCATCCCCTCCGCCCTATTAACCCTCCCACCCTCATAACCCTCAACCCCCAAAGCCTCGCAGAGGAGGAGAGGCTGCGGTGCCCACCGCCCGCTTCGAGGCGCTGCTCTGTTCCCACCCTTTATCCCCATCCCCGCAGCGCCTTTAATAAAACTCACATCACCCGTGCGCCCCATTGAGGATTTAGGGCGTCATCCCCATGGAGGTTCAGCTTTTGGGGTCTCCTAGGGGTGAAAGGTGGGGGGGGCTGAGAACTCACAAAACTCGTTACACGCAGCCCCACACCACGTGCTGTGGTTTCCCCAGCTCTCATTGCATCGGCGTTAATTAAAGCTCCCCTCCCTCCCCTAAAAGAAGCTATGGGGTGGATTTGGGACCCTCCTCCCCTCCCTAATGGGGATCTGGCACCGTCTGTCCCCTCCTTCAAGCTTACATTTAGGGGCTGCCTCTACCCTACAGCCCCACATTATGGCACGGTGCCCCAACCCCGCAGCGCCCGCAGCCCCCACCCTACCGACCCTATAATTGGCTTTGCCCTAATAAGTCTGCAGAGCGCACGGGGGCAGCGTTATGGGGCAGCCCTAAGCCCCATGGGGCGTCACCTCCTCTTGGCTCCAGGGATTATTTTCCTATCCAGAGCTATTTCTGCTTCGAACCGCTCCCGGTGTCCCCATATCACCCCATAGAACCCACAGTGCTACCAACTCCAAAGCCCCGAGGAGCAGGAAAGAGGGAAACCCAATGATGGGGTGAAGATCCAGAGCTGAGCCCCACTCATAGGAGGTCCCAATGCCCCAACCCTAAAGGGACACCTCCGCCCTAAAAGGGGACACCCCACCACCCCAAAAGGGGACAACACCTCAGATGGGGCCACTCCAAAGGGGACACCTCAGATGGGGCCACCTCCACCCTAAAAGGGGACAACCCCACCACCCCAAAAGGGGTCAACCCAAAAGGGCTACCCCTACCCTAAAGGAGGACACCCCACCACTCTAAAAGGGGTCACCCCAAAGGAGCTATCCCTACCCTAAAAGAGGACATCCCCCCACCCCAAAAGGGGTCACCCCAAAGGGGCCACCCCTACCCTAAAAGGGGACATCCCCCTACCCCAAAAGGGGAAACCTCAGAT